TAGCCACCATGTCAGTGATGCGGCTCGTCCTGGATAGCCTAGACAACATAAACTCCGGCCGCGGAAGCCTACGCAACCATTCCCCAGTCATTACCGGATGCCGTAGCTGGGCGCTTCCCAGAAGGTACCGGGTAAACGGAAATTTGAGTTTCAGAATTTCGGTATTTTAAGAAACAAATTTCAAAGGACATGCGCCGATATTGGTTTGGGTGAGGACAAGCCCCACTCCTACACCATTCGTTCAAATACTAGGAATAATGGTCTACCTCGTCGGAGAATGGGTGGGAGGCAGAGATCCGGTGGTGAATTTTGTTGCAGGGTAAATTCATTCAGATAAAAATTTCTGCCAAGGAAGATTCAAACTGCCACTTAGGCTATCGAAAGAGAGCGCGTATCTGCCGCAGTCGCGGAGTGCAAGACCTGCACTTAATCATTCTCAATGTCTCCGCCACATCACGGAATGGCATTACGCGAACATTTATGTGCCGCCCTTCCCATTACCATTGGCTAGGGTCGCGTGGACGCCGTTCTCCAGTGTCCCAATGTACCCGACTCGTGAGTGACGTGCTGGCAGCCGCCCCAGTCAGCCAGGCCGCCACCGCCGTCGCCTCAAAGCGCCGCTACCGCGGGCTGCGGCGACCACCACCACCACCGTCGTCGCCGAGCCGGGCAAAAGGGGTTGCCCGTACCTGCACATCTCAGCAAAGAAAAACTGACTAGTGGTCTGGCATTTCAATATTTTGCTTTACAGTACCTTGACTGACCAAAAAACAATTAGATAACACATATATACCAGGCTTCTCTTTAGCTAGCAGCTCATATCAAAGTATTAACACTGCACATCATGCATATGGTGGAACAAGCATTTTTATTAAAGGTACTTTTAGTTTTGTACCCTACAACAATCACACTCATCTTATAAAAAAGAAGGACTTTGAAATATCCATCACTGATTCACGGGCGGATCCAGAGACGTATTTTCGGAGGGGAAATTCAAAATGTTTTGGCGGATTATGTCGTATTACTGCAATGAGTCGTAAAGTCCCATTGCACAGCGCGACCCTTGCGTCACGCTCTATTAACATATTTCGTGGCGAAGAGCGCCGTTAACACAATTCGACACGCGCAGCTGCCTGTGCATCGCTAATCCAGTATTCCCCAGCGAGCGTCCGCCCCCGAAACGCACCCTTCCATCTTTGTGTGTAGCAGCTGACTACCGGAAATGTCACATTAAGAGGCGAGAGTATCCCACCAGAAATTCCTACGTGACAATAAATCACGAAGCTCCGTAGAAGACTAGCCCATGGCAAACTTCGCGCTAAGCACGTGATAGGACGGGCATTTTGCGAGAGGTGTGAGGATGGGAATCGGGTGAGCGAACGGTGCTAGAAAAATTGAGAATTGGAGAAAGGACTGTTGGAGCGAGCGGTCGACTATTAAAGAGAGTTCTTCGTGTTCAACGGCTACTACAGCCACACGAAAGCGATCGCTAGTCTCCAGGTCCTACCAGCCATTATTCCAGCATCGGAATTTATTCCGGATGCCGGGCTACGACGGTAGGAGTAACACCTATAAATTACACGAGAGGGTGTGTAGCACCTGAGACCCGCGCAACAAAAAATGACGCTTCAATTCCGAGGACGACCGTGGACGATCTCCATCTTCGCCAGGCGTCGTGTTCCTGCCAACTACAGGATACTTGTATGGTACTTCAACGGGTCATCTGCTGCCGCCGGTCGATATTTGGACGTGTAATCCTTTCGAAGTGAGGTAACAGAATTTCAGTCATCACCATTTTCCGTAAGTGTTCACACCCATTTTAGTCAATAACCAGAGTAAAGCACAGTAATGTAAAAGAGACAATTTTCTATAGCAATAAACGCGTCCCCGTCATTT